CAAAAACGACAGGAAAGGACAAAAAACGAACCCATCTTCTTCGTGCAGGCAAATCTTCAAAGAAAAGAGCTTGCAACTAATGAATTGATGATTGAGGCCAGCAAGATTGGGATGAGTATCGCTCTAATCCAAGAACCGTATGTGGGGGCGTGGGGAGCATGAAAAGCTACCGAGGTGCTCGAATATATCAATGCACCCAAAGAACAGCAGGAATAGTTAAGACGGCCATTGCCGTCTTTAACAATAACATCAGCGTCACTCAGTATCCTATACTCACTACAAATAATTTCACGGTAGTCAAAATTGGAATGGGTGCTCAGGAGGTGGGAATAATATCCCTGTATCTCGAACCGGACTTACCCATTGAACCATACATGGACCATTTAAGACATGTGCTCACTAAAATTGGTAAAATTGACGTACTCGTAGGAGGGGACGGAAACGCTTGGAGCCCATGGTGGGGGTAGTGTGAGAGAAGATGGAAGGGGAGAAGTGCTATCGGGAACTTTAAATGAGCTCAGCCTCCACATATTAAATGAAGGAGACACTCCTACATTTGATACGGTAAGAGGAGGAAAAACATATAGGAGTCATGTCGACATAACAGCATGCTCCGAAAACTTGTTGAAGGTGGTGGAGGACTGGAAAGTGGATACTGGCATGACAAGTTCAGATCACAATACAATTAAATTCTCAATTAATTTAGTCAAAAGTTCAGGAGTAACGATACAAAGAACAACGAGAATATATAATAGTAAAAAAGCAAATTGGAGTCAATTTCGTGAGAAATTGATTCAATTTCTGGCAGATAAAAATATCAATTCCGTAGAAATTAAAAAATAAATAACAAATTGGACTTAGAAAATCAAATCAAAAATTATTTAGAAACAATCGAAAAAAACTTGCGAAAACACAATCCCGAAAAAGAAGAATATAAGCAAACTGAATTTACCATGGTGGAGTGACGAACTTGTCAGGCTTAAGAAGGACTACATCACCAAAAAAACGACGCATAAGATGTGCAGCCCCAGTTCGAAGAGAAGCAGTCGTCGGAGAATACCTGCAAGCAAAAGAAAAATACGAATATGAAGCTAAACAGGCTCAGATAAAAAGCTGGAAAGAGTTCTGTGGTAGACAGAATAGAGAGGGGTTGTGGGAAGGCATATACCGAGTTATCGGCAGAACTGCTAAACGGCACGAAGATCTGCCACTCACAAAGGATGGAGTAGCTCTAAATAATGCCGAATCAGCGAGATGTTTAGCCGAGACATTCTACCCGGAAGATGAGGTTGAAGCTGATAACACAGACCACCAGCGTATAAGAAAGATAGCTGAAAAGATAAACGTGGGAACGCAAGATGATTCTTGTGACCCACCATTTACTCTTGCGGAGCTAAGGCAAGCTACGAGCAGCTTCAACCCAAAAAAAGGCACCCGGTGGGGATGGTTTTACGGCCGACATCTGCCGAGAAGCCATCTTTCATAGCCCGGAGATTTATCTGAGCCCAGTCAACAAATGCCTGGAGTTGGGACACTTCCCTACCAAATGGAAAGAGGCAGTGGTAGTTGTTTTGAGGAAACCTGGAAAGGATGATTATACGCACCCCAAAGCCTACAGACCAATAGGTCTACTACCTGTGTTAGGTAAAATCCTGGAGAAAATGATAATCAAAAGGATCAGATACCATGTCCAATCCGGGTGTAGTACTCGTCAATACGGTTTTACCCCACAAAGGAGCACCGAAGACTCCCTCTATGATATGATGCAATATATCCAACTACAATTACGCAATAAAAAGATCATCGTGATAATATCTCTTGACATAGAGGGAGCCTTCGATAGCGCCTGGTGGCCAGCTATAAGATGCCGATTGGCTGAGGAAAAGTGCCCTAATAATATAAGAACATTGATGGACAGTTATCTCCAGGATAGGAAAGTGAGACTTAGATATGCAGGTGTGGAACATACACGGGCAACCACAAAGGGGTGCGTACAGGGTTCCATAGGAGGACCGGTCCTATGGAATCTTCTTCTCGACCCTCTCCTAAAAGAAATGGAAGGTAAAAGTGACCGGTGTCAGGCGTTCGCCGATGACATCGTCCTACTGTTTGCGGGGGACACGGCGCTTGATGTCCAAAGACGTGCGGATGCTGCTCTGGAACATGTTATGAAGTGGGGAATTCGTAACAAACTTAAATTTGCGCCACATAGGACCCAGGCAATGATAATAACGAACAAACCAAAATACGATCCCCCACGTCTGAGCATGGGCGGTATGGTGGTGCGCATGTCAGAGGAGATCAAGGTGCTTGGTCTCACCGTAGACAAAAAACTTACTTTTAACACACACGTTAGGAATGTGTGCAAGAAGGCCACATCTCTCTACTCACAGCTATCGAGAGCGGCAAAGATCAGTTGGGGCCTTCAACCAGAAATTATTAGGACGATGTACACGGCGGTAGTTGAACCGGTGGTTTTGTACGCAGCGAGCGCGTGGGCGCCAGCCGCTAAGAAGTTGGGAGTCAGGGAAGCAACTGAATAATGTGCAGAGAGGATTCGCTCAAAAAATTATCAAAGCATACCGGACCGTATCCCTACACTCGGCACTAGCACTGTCTGGTCTGCTTCCTCTGGACTTGAGGGTCCAAGAAGCAGCTTCCCTTTTTGAGGCGAGGAGAGGAAAACTCCAGTCGCTGCTGGCAGATCGAGTGGTGGAGACAAAGGCGAGCTTTATGGAACTGCCTCACCCCGTATCCTATATGGATCTGCAATTCATATGCCTGGTAAACGAGGACGAAATGAGACTCAACAACAACCAGAGTCTCCGAATATTTACCGACGGGAGTAAAATAAAGGGAAAGGTCGGAGCGGCCTTATCTTTTGGAATAATGCTGGTGAGACCCAAACTCTGAAACTCAAACTGTCGGACTACTGTACCGTTTACCAGGCGGAATTACTGGCCATATACATGGCAACTGAGCGGATTCTCTCTAGCGCGGAGACAACTTTCGGGGTCTACAGTGACTCTAGGTCTGCTCTGGAGACCATTGTGGACCACGACTCTCAACACTCTTTAGCAGTCAAGACCCGCAAAAACATTTATAACATCTTAAGGCAACAAAAAACATTACAACTCTTTTGGATAAAAGCCCATGCGGGTCTTGCGGAAAATGAACGAGCTGACGAGCTGGCTAAACAGGCGGCGCTGCGGGCAAAAAAGAAAGCCGGACTACGACCTTTGCCCGGTCTCTTTTGTAAAGCGTCTCATTCGATCTGAGACGCTTAAAGAATGGAACCGAAGGTATACAGATGGAGAGACCGCTAGAACAACTAAAGCATTTCTGCCGGACGTTGAGACAGCCCACAAGGTGATTAGAGAAACAGCGCTGTCTCCGACGATGATCCAAGCAATGACCGGACATGGTGGGTTCTCCGAGTACCTGTATCGGTTTCGGTGCAAGGAGAGCCCATCATGCGTCTGTGAGCCTGAAACCGAGGAGACGGTTATGCACATCCTCCTGCAGTGTCCTCGGTTTGATAAAGCCAGATACGATATCGAGTCTGAAATCGATATTCAGATAGTAAAAGAAAATTTACACATGCTGCTCATTGAAAAAAGGACGCGAAATAAGTTTATAAAATTTTGTGAGGGTGTAGTTAAACAAGTCATTAAACATAACCAAAAGTAAATTATAGAAATTTAATATAGTTTAATATGACGAATATTTTTAATATGATAAATATGCCCAATGACTATTGTTGATTATTATTATCTCTATTATTTACTAAAATATGTAACTTGAACTGATTATTAATTCAATTATTATTTGAGACTTAACAATCAATTTAGTAATAAAACCGGCGCTTCCTTGTGTTTATACTTTTATATACAGAGAGAATGCGCTGACTCCAAATTCAAAATTATAAGATTTATTTACAAATTGTATGTGTGTTAATATAAAGGAATTTATAAGTAAGAGATATAATATATTGTTGTTGCGTGTATTAGGTAAAGAGTAGTAGGACTCCCGAACGAAAACCCGGAGTCCTCTACACCCTCTATAAAACAAAAAGGACAAAGTAAATAAAAAACATGAAATAAAGTCCATGTCGAGCTGACAATGTCTCTGACCTACATGTCAGAGGAAAGCAGCAAAACATACATTAAAAAAAAAAAAAAAAAAAAAAAAAACCTAACCTAACCTAACCTAACCTAACCTAACCTAACCTAACCTAACCTAACCTAACCTAACCTAACCTAACCTAACCTAACCTAACCTAACCTAACCTAACCTAACCTAACCTAACCTAACCTAACCTAACCTAACCTAACCTAACCTAACCTAACCTAACCTAACCCCGTCCCATCATCCAATCATAATGCTATCACTTTTGATTTGTCTTTAAATAACAACTTGTTAAGCAAACAAAAAAACTTTCAACATTTAAATACAAAACTCAGAATATAAAATGGGATGAAATTACAGAACAGTTTAAATGCGAGTTAGCCAAATATTTAGACCTCAATATTAATGTAGATAATTTAAGCACCTCCCAGTTAGATAAATACATTACAAAATTAGTCACAGCAGTACAAAAGGTTAGCGACAAACTCTTTCCGAGAAAATCGTCTAAAGTAACAAATCGAGCACCTTGGTGGAACGATAAATTAGAAAATCTCAAGCAAAAAGTTATAAAAAATCACCACAAAATTCAACAAATGAAACGCAGTAAAAAACCGTTAACCGAATTGTTGCTAGAAAAAGAAAACTTAAGAAATGAATATGCTCAAGCAATTAGAATTGCTTCAACTGAGCATTTCAGGGAGTTCTGCAATAAGCAGGGAAAGGAGGATGTATGGAGTATAACCAATCGGTTACTTAAGACCACACCTTTGAAGCAGCCTCCCTCAACTCTTAAAACAAGAGCGGGTAAATACACAAAAACAACATACGAAACTGCTGAAACGTTTTTAAATGAATATTTTCCTGATGATGGACCCGATACATGCTTAAGGCACATGCAGCTGCGTAATTCTTTTAACGAAACACCCGACACACCAGTAGATGCTCCATTTACTGTAGAAGAAGTACTTGAGTCATTGAAATCCATGAACCCCAAAAAATCACCTGGTCTAGACCACCTCACATCGGATATATGTTTTAAATTTGCTGAAACTTTCCCTATTACAATCACTCAAATAATGAACAGATGCCTGCAACTCGGCCACTTTCCAAAGGACTGGAAGGTCGCATATATAAAAATTATCCCAAAACACAATCAAACCGAACTTAATACCGCTTCATATAGACCGATAGGACTCATTAATGTATTTGGAAAGGCTTTAGAAAAATTAATTACTAAAAGACTTACATATTTCTTACACACAACTAATGCAACTAGTAATTTACAATTCGGTTTCAAAGAGCAAACTTCAACAACGGCTGCTATCCAAAAAGCACTTGACGTTATACAAAATGCTAGATTACAAAATCATCAAGTGTTGGCAATCTCACTCGATATACAGGCGGCTTTTGACAATGCCTGGTAGCCAGCACTGTTTCATAGGCTTCACACTATTAAATGTCCTAGCAACTTATATAATCTTCTTAAAAATTACTTCCAACACCGTGTAGTCAAACTTGATTTTGCGGATAGTTCAGCTACCAAGTATATGTCTCGGGGATGCGTTCAGGGTTCAGTTTGCGGTCCAATGCTATGGAACCTGATACTTGATGAGCTCTTAACATCTGAGCTACCAAATGGATGTCATCTCCAAGCCTTCGCAGATGATCTCTTATTAATAGTGTCTTCAAAAGATACCCAAAATCTTGAAACTACAACTAACGAAGCTCTTTCCAAAATTGTATCGTGGGGAAACTCAGTCAAACTAAGATTTAATCCTAATAAAACCCAAATGATATCATTTACCAATAAAGCTCGCAAATGTGAAATAGTTATGAACAGTCTACCATTGCAATTCTTCCGCCAAATAAAGTATTTAGGGGTCATTATAGACCAAAAATTAAATTTCATAAAGCATGCAGAACATACAATACACAAATCGTACAATCTATTTCAAAAATTGGCCAAATATATAAAACCTACTTGGGGAGTAAATTCAGAAAATGTGCATACCATATATCTTGCAGTAATAGAACCTATTGTTTGCTATGCATCAAGTATTTGGAGTTCTGCTCTAAAATATAAGTATATAGAAAAACGGTTACTTTCTCTCCAACGCAATTTCGCCATTAAAATCATAAGAGGATTTCGAACAACAAGCACGGCAACTGCAATCTCTCTGGCAAAACTTTATCCATTACAAGCTAAAATAAAAACGTGTGCAGATTTAGAAATAACGAGGCGATGTAAAACCTCCATATATCTTCCTAAAGATATAGAACTCGAAACACCAGTGATACCTGCAGAACTTCTACACACTTGCCAAAGAAAAACAATCCAATTTCAGGAAGCTTCAAACCAACAGGATATAAATCAATACTCCGATACAGCAACATCAAGTATATTTACAGATGGAAGCAAGACTGATAAAGGTGTAGGAGCTGCTTTTGTTGTTATTCACTCTGATGGTCAAAACATCGTTAAGAAATATAAACTGCATGACGCTTGTTCTGTATACCAAGCTGAACTTTTTGCAATTTTAAAAGCAAGTGAATGGATTCTGAACAGTAAACTTATAAAATTTTCAATATATTCCGATAGCAAGTCAAGCCTCTTAGAGTTAAATAACCCAAACACCACGAACCCATTAGCAGTAGCAATACACCGCAACGTTACTAATATAGAAACAAGAAATAAATCAGTAAGATTCATCTGGACGAAAGCCCATAATGGTGTAACCGGGAATGAATTAGCGGACTCGGCAGCCAAATCAGCAACGAACTTAAAGAAAGCCCCCGATTATTCCAAATTTCCTATCAGCTACATAAAACAAATACATCGTAAGATTTTACAAACTGCGAGTGAAGATTACTACAATAACATAGTTAACTGCACATATACCAAAACGTGGTGCCCTACATACGAAGAACTCCACAAAGTTTTAGAAAAAATCAAACCTGACTTTAATTTTACGCAAATTCTAAGTAATCACGGGTTTCACAAATGCTACCTATATAGGTTCAAAATAAGCCCAAATGATTATTGCCCGTGTGACGGAAGCACATCCCAAACTGTTATCCATCTCATTAAAGAATGCCCAAAATTTAACAACACTAGAATAGACCATGAAATTATCTGCAATAACTTAAAAATAAAGCCATACGATTTAACAGACATAGTTAAAAAATACACAACTATAGAAACGTTTACTAAACACATAAACAAAATAGTTAAATCATTAAAAAAATATAATAATTAACAAAATATATCAAAAGGAAAAAAGACTGCCAAAATAATATCTAAAAAACTAAATAATTAAAGAGATCCAATCTCCATAATGCAACTTGTATCCCGATAGCATAATGCATTATGTAAGAAAACTTAACAGTCTCTAAAAAAAAAAAAAAAACCTAACCTAACCTAACCTAACCTAACCTAACCTAACCTAACCTAACCTAACCTAACCTAACCTAACCTAACCTAACCTAACCTAACCTAACCTAACCTAACCTAACCTAACCTAACCTAACCTAACCTAACCTAACCTAACCTAACCTAACCTAACCTAACCTAACCTAACCTAACCTAACCTAACCTAACCTAACCTAACCTAACCTAACCCAGTACACATCTGAAAGTGACATATTCAACATAAGCTCCACGGAGAAATTGCTTAAAAAATAGCAATTTTTGAGCTACGCGAGTGGAAGTGCTGTGAAAAAGTTTTTGAGTGTGCATTTCATCAGCGTAATTGGGGAGAACTCTGTGCATTGGATGGTTTAGGAGCAGTAGCCTCTTAACTTTGGGGATAAATAGTGTCGACACCATCAGCAAAATTGCCAAGTACTCATCAGTACTTGAGAGCCGCTATAGAGATCAGTAAAACGGCGAAAGAATCAATAAAATCGGCCCACAAACACAGAAGTTATTGACTCCTTAAAATCAACAACTTAACCTCAAACCACGTGGTTGCAACGTGCTTTCAGACGTTGAGGTTAAAGCGAGTCAGTGAACACAAGGCGTCCGGCGACGGTGCAGACTTCAGTGGAGCCTTCGAAGACGGACCGAGGAATCCCTCAAGCATACAATCGCCGCAGCTGGAGACACTTTCAACGGCCATCAGGTAAACCCCGAGGGAACTCCTAGACCCCTTACTCCTGACCACCCGAGTTTGGACTCATTTGAGTCAGATTCTCAAGACCCCACCACACATATCACCTCCCCCCCCATATAAAACCCCTATCCTTGAACCCCCCCCCCCACCATTAACCCCCTCTTTCACCAGTCCTACCCTCCTAACCCCTACAATCTTTAATTTTATACCAGATATACGCTCCTTACGAATTCCCCCCACCACCCACCCCCCCAACTACCTACGCCCGCTCATTTTTTTATTATACCATATATAAGCTTCCCGCGAATACCCCCCCCCTCCCCCTCGCCCCTCGAGGCTTACCTCTCCCCCGCGAGCCATAACTAGTTTACCAGAGGAGCTAGACCCCCCCGTGTAAGGGCTCATTTGAATCAGGAAAAAGAGCTCTACCTTCTGGCCCCTACAGAATTTTGATTTTTCACCATAGTCCGATACCAACCCGGACAATAACACCTCAAGCATACTCCAGGACTCACAGCATACCAACCGGAGATCCCACAACGGGCTCTTTCTTCGCGTCCATCGTACTCTTCACTGCAATTCAACCATCGAAGAACACCAGCAGTGAGTTCACAAAAAAAAAAATATAATAAATATCTTCAAATATTAAAAAATATATAATACTTGTATAATATTTTATAAGGCATTACCTATATTTATAGCTACTAAGGCAACTTACAATTAGAGTATCTTTTAATTTTTGTAATTATGTCAGGAAATAAAGTAATCATGTCGGATGTGGAGACTGCTTCTTCAACCAAGTCCTCCCAAAACCTTTCTGTTGCTCCACCTAGACCTCCACGATCGCTGCGGGAAAAAGTACTTACAAAATCCAGTTTATCAAAAGCAACACCTAGCGAGAAGTTGTCGCAGCCATCATCTCATCCCGCAACAGGAAAACGTCCAGCGGACTCTGCTCCGACAGACGCATCTACAACAAGAAAAAATGCCTCTTCGCACACCCCCACTCTGGGAACTAAAATGTCGCAAACTTCAGTTAAAAGCGACAGCTCGATCCGATCCTCCGTTTGTGACCCGGTAGATGCGGCTATCGACAAAGTAGCTAACTGGAAGCAGGAAGAAATTCCTCCACTTCCAGTTTTATCCGACGAAGAACTTTCGATCACATCTGCGCCGGAATCACCACTATCGGAGGCACCGGAAAAAGGAAGACCCAGCCTGCTTTTTAACTCCAACAGGCGACTGGGGGTGGAAATGGATATGGCAACAAAAGAAGCGAACGAAATGCTTCTGAGAGGGAAGGAAGCGCTAGAAATGGCAGGGAATATGAAGAGGGAGTGTAAGTTAACAGCTTTAGAGAGTCTGCAGTCCCTCTACGAGATGGTCCTGGCGCTGTCAGATTCCAGATCTAGACATAAGCATAATCTAGAAAGGGAACGCTCACGCAACGCTCAAGAACTAATGCGAGTGGAGCGCGCCCATAACAAGATCATCACCCAGCTTATGAAGGAAATGGCTTCCGAACTAGGCCATGCCAGGACAGATATAAAAAATACCCTCCAGGAATCCAAGGCGATACGGGGTTGGTTGAACTTCGAAACCCAAGAGCCCTTCCGCAAAACGAGCGACCTACTCAAAGCTGTGACGGACTTAGACAAGCGCATAGGTGTGATTCAGTCGAACTTGAGTCAGCAGAAGCAAGAAGGTGCAGACAACATTTTATCTCACCTAAGAGTGGACCTTACTGGAGTAAAATCTAGTGTGGAAACACTCAAACTTCAATTGGACGAAATGCGCAGAGTCATCGAAAAGTCCGAAAACAACACCAAGAAGGTTCTGGAGACCGGCCAAAAAACCCTGCTACGCCTGGAGTCACCACCATCCCACCCCTCAGAGGAAATAAGTAAAACGTTGGAACATGAGCTGAATGGAATGAAGAGTTCGCTGAAGGAGATAGATACAAGTATCAGATCTGGACTTTCAATCTTACCTTCAGCGGACTCCGGTAAAATATTCCAAACCAGCATAAGGGAACATCTTCAACCAATAGAAGAACACTTATGTGCAATGTCATCCGAGCTGAGGACGATGAGAGAGCAGAAGCAACGGGCCCCATCACCTACAGCCCCAAGTCTAGCAACAGAGCTTGCACAAACTGGCGAAGCAGCAACAAAGCCAAAAAAGACATACGCCAGAGTGGCTGCAAGCCCTCCCCTTCCTAAACCCAATCACACTCTCATTATCACATCAACTGATTCGAAAAACACAGCCGAAAATATCATCGAGAGAATCAGGGAGGCTCTAGACACAAAAAAGACTGGAGCCAAAGTAGATAGGGTAAGGAAGGCGAAAAACCAAAAAGTCGTCCTCAGTTGCAACACCAAGGAGGATCTTAACCTTGTCCAAAATAGAGTTAAGACAAATAAAAGTTTAAAAGTAGAGGTTGCCAGAACAAACAATCCCTTGGCGATAATCAGGGACGTGCTATCGTATCACACAGACGTCGAAATCGTGGAAAATATACTGGCGCAGAACAAACACCTTCTGCATGACGTCGATGAGAAAGAACGAACAGTCAGAGTTCGATACAGGAAAAAGGCGAGGAATCCACAAGAGTGCCATCCTGTACTTGAGCTCTCTCCAAAAGTGCACAGGCGCTTCATTGATGCGGGTAAAATTTACATCGGCCTCCAAAGAAGACCAATAATGGATCACTCTCCCCTTGTGCAATGCACAAAATGCCTCGGTTTTGGCCACACAAAAGCAGTGTGCCATGAAAAGGAGGAACTCTGCAGTCACTGCGGAGAGACCCATTCATGGGACAAATGCCCGATCAGACTGGAGGGGAGACCCCCCCCCGATGTAAAAATTGCCTCAAAGCGCACGGTGCCGATACGGACCTGGCATACAATGCTTTTAGCTTTGATTGCCGGGAAAAGCAGAAGTGGGATGCAATAGCACGGTCCCGCATATCTTACTGCTAAGGGCAACCAAAACAATATAAACTCCAACATTAGTAGGTCAGACCTCAAAATCATTCAGGTGAACTTGCAACGCTCCAGGGTAGCAACGGCGGAACTACTTCAGGTTGCATCGAATAAAGGAGTGTCGATTGCCATAGTACAGGAACCCTATGTGGGAAAAAATGGCGTTATTAAAGAACATCCTGGCACGCGAGTAGTTCAATGCAGCCTGAATAGACAAAAACCGGTAAAGGCCGCAGTGCTGATCTTCGGAGATCAGCTGGAGATTATCCATGATCCACAGCTGGTTACCGAAACAGAAGCGGCAGTACTTCTCGTTGCAGGAAATTTAAAACTGGGAGTCGTGTCAGTTTACCTCGAGGGAGAGCAAGATATAAATCCCTACCTTAGGCGAATCCAAGCAGCTTGCGCAAAACTTCACACAAACAACATCATAGTGGCTGGAGACATAAATGCTTGGAGCCAATGGTGGGGAAGTAATTCCGAAGATGAAAGAGGCGCGGCATATAACACCTTCCTCAATGAAATGGATCTCCATATTCTGAACACGGGTGACACGCCTACCTTCGAAACATACAGAAGGGGGAGAATTTGTTCGAGCATAGTAGACGTCACTGCTTGCAGTTCGTCACTTCTCGGCAATGTGGAGGACTGGAGAGTGGAGAGAAGCCTAATTACATCAGACCACAACGCGATTATGTTTACACTGCGCACCAAAGCGGTCTTGACACAATTACGGCCCTGCACAACGCGCAAATACAACACCAGAAAGGCAAACTGGTCGGAATTCTCAACACGCTTTAGATCCCTTCTAAAAGAAAGAGCCATAACTCCCACACTAATTGAGGAGGCGGAAATCCATGACGATCTGGAATCCATCACAATAGCCTACACAAAAGCAATCCAGGAATCTTGTGATGAGACTATTCCGAAAATGGGCATGAGGGGGGGTGAATGCAACGCCCCCATGGTGGTCAAAATCCCTCAACCAACTCAAAAAAGAAGTCCATAGGAAAAAAAGACGTATTAGAAATGCGGCACCAAGTCGAAGACAACACGTAATAGACGAATACATAAGTTTTAAACAACAATACACCATAAAAGTTGAGGAGGCGCAAACCGAAAGCTGGAAGGAATTCTGCACGACACAGGAAAGGGAGAGCATGTGGGATAAAATTTACAGAGTTATCCGGAAATCCTCAAGAAGATATGAGGACATGCTCCTAAGAAACATCCAAGGGGAAACTCTGACACCAAAAGAGTCGGCAGAACTCTTGGCCCAAACATTTTACCCTGACGACTGTGTGGAAACAGATCAGCCATACCACACCAAAATACGAGAGCTGACGGAAATTAACAAAGACCTAGGTTTGTCAGAAGATGACCCACCTTTTGCAGAAGCGGAGCTTGAATCAGTGTTACAAACACTAAACCCCAAAAAGGCCCCTGGACCAGACGGGCTAACAGCTGACATCTGCTCCGCTGCAATAAACTGCAACAGGAAGGTATTCTTAGCGATAGCCAACAAGTGCTTGAAATTGGCGTACTTTCCCAAGCAGTGGAAAACTGCACATGTGGTCATCATCCGTAAGCCAGGAAAGGATGACTATACACATCCAAAGTCATACCGACCAATAGGTCTCCTGTCAGTACTCGGAAAAATAGTCGAGAAGTTGATGGTGGGCCGACTCCAGTGGTACATCCTCCCAACCCTTAATAAAAACCAGTATGGGTTCATGCCTCAACGTGGTACAGAGGACGCCCTCTATGATCTATTGAAATACATCAAAAACGAAGCGAGGAATAAGAAGATCGTCCTTGTTGTTTCATTAGATATAGAGGGAGCCTTTGACAACGCATGGTGGCCAGCATTAAAACTGCAACTAGCCAAAAAGAAATGTCCCAAAAACCTCTACGATATGGTTGGCTCTTACCTTCAAGATCGAAAAATCGTAATTAACTATGCCAGAGCAACGAGTGAGAGGGGAACTACGAAGGGGTGTGTTCAAGGATCTATCGGTGGACCAACCTTTTGGAATGTTATCCTAGACTCACTGCTGCACCAACTTACGAACGAAGGGGTGTATTGTCAGGCATTTGCAGATGACGTCGTCTTGGTGTTCTCGAGTCACTCAACGAGTGCCCTGGAGCAACAGGCCAATGACACTCTAAAAAGAGTAAAGAAGTGGGGAACCCAGAACAAGCTAAAGTTTGCAGCGCATAAAACAAATGCAATGCTTGTCACTAAAAAACTTAAATTTGACCTCCCCAACCTGCAAATGTCCGGCAGCAGAGTAAACCTCGTAGAGGAAATTAAAGTACTCGGTCTCATCATTGACCGTGGACTCACCTTTAAACCGCATGTAGCAGCCGTATGCAAAAAAGCGGCTGACATATACAAACAGCTTGCATGCGCGGCCAAGGTGACCTGGGGTCTCAATGGTGAGATTGTAAGGACAATATACGTTGCAGTCGTCGAACCTATAGTGATGTACGCTTCGAGCGCGTGGTCCTCAGCAACAGAACTTCAGATGATCAAAGACCAACTAAACACGTTGCAAAGGGGCTTCGCGCAGAAGATCTGTAAAGCGTACCGCACGGTATCGCTCACTTCCGCGCTTGCCATCTCGGGTCTGCTTCCGTTAGACCTGAGAATAAAAGAAGCGTCCAGCTTGTACCAAACCAGGAAACAAGGCACACTGGACTATTTACCACCAGGAAGAGAGCTTGAAAACCGTGTAAATCACTTGGATCAACCTCATCCCTCTAAACTCGTCAAATTGGAATATGAGCTACTGGAAACAATCGGAAACACAAACCTCCACCAACTAACCGGCCCTCACATATACACCGATGGAAGTAAGATAGAAGGGAGGGTCGGAGCAGCTTTAACGTGGTGGGAAGATGGTAGGGAGATCAGTAGTTCCACCTTTAAACTGGATCCATCCTGTACAGTCTTCCAATCCGAGCTCTATGCCTTGCTCAGGTCGACCAAACTAGCTGAATCGAGCACTAAACCTGTTGTTAACATTATGAGTGACTCAAGATCTTCGCTCGATCTGCTAGCAAACCCTAAAGCAAGCCACCCCCTATCAAAGGCCATTCAAGAAAGCATAGGGAAGATGAGAAAAGAGGGAAGAGTGATACGGCTGTTTTGGTTGAGGGCTCATGTAGGCACGTCTGGAAATGAGAGAGCTGATGAGCTTGCCAAGGCGGCGGCACTCCGGGAGACAGCCACTCCAGACTACGACAAAATCCCCATGTCCTACGTTAAAAAGAAAATCAGAGAGGAAACCGTTCGAATCTGGCAGGACAGATACGAGACCTCGACCACTGGGCAAGTCACCAAAATATTCCTACCGGATGTTGCAATAGCATACCGGATAGTGAGAAAGACGAAGTTGACACCCACACAGGTACAAGTGTTAACAGGACATGGTGGAATTGCGGAGTACTTGCACCGCTTTAAGCTTAAGGATACACCAGGGTGCGAGTGCGATCCCAATGTCAGTGAGTCAGTGTGGCATGTGATTCTGGAGTGTCCCCGCTATCAGGCGGCACGTCTGGATCTCGAGTTTTGCATAAACACCAATCTTGACAAGTCTGACCTACACAAAATCATCGAAGACGAAGAAAAAAGGCCCAAATTTCTGGCATTCGTGGAGTCCATCTTTCGCGCTGCTGCAAAGCGTAACGCCATGAACTATCCATTCCCCAGGGAGCAGCAAACTGTTGCGGAATTCGCAGAGGTCTCCGTAAAGGAGAAGAGCATCCCAGCCAATAAAGCAGACCATCAGCTACTTGCATGCGCTGAAAGAGGTAACCCAGGCCTGAGAATTCGAGGAGTAGCTCTCTTCATGGATAACAACACAGAGCGTTTCGGCTTAAGTTTTTGCTTAACAACTGGCCGAAACTATGTCAAAATATCTCCCGGTCTCGCAAGCTTACTAAACGGCAGTACTCTCAAAACGAGCATGAAGCGCAAAACATATGAGGCGCTAGTTGAAATAGAGGTTGCAAAGCAACGATGTCGAATAGTAAGATCGAAAAACAAAACGATCTTGCTGTTCACATGGAGCGAAGAAAAAACCCCATTCGCCCAGGCATGCTCACTGCTAACGAGACTCGGTGAGGAAGAGACATCTGTCATACCCCGCATCATAAGTGTGGATGCCATGGTGGTCCTATATGAGAAAGGTGAAGTCATGGACCACTTTGGTTGTATAAAAGCCTCAAACAAACATGAAATAGTTGTGTATGAGGATAGGGGCGAAAACCTGAGCTTCCTCAAACATCACGACTCAACAAAGGCAACCCAACATCTTGTAGCAAATCCAGAGACACTTAGTGGCTCAGAACGCCTGCAACTGAAAACGGCCAAAGAAAAGGCCGCAGCCAGGGAAAAACTTAGCAAAAGTTCTGAGTCACAAAGCGGGGTAAGTGCACTAATTAAAACCATCAGTGCAGCGGCCCAGAGCATTCCAGGAAGAGCAATGCGAAAGTTGAGCAAGTTAAGACAAGCCGATAACCTAATAAGAGAGCCTCCAAGAGTACTCAAGAAATCCAAACCCACCCACACTAGACCCTGTTCGGGACGTGTCAGCCCTCCAAGACTTCTACCAGCGGTCGAGCCTAAAGACCACATAATCAACGCTTTCTTAGAGTTTAAGGCCCTCATAAAAGCAACTCTTGAGGTGAACCAAACTACTTGCAAGAATATCTTACAAAGTTTCCACCTCGGTAGTCATGAGTTCCTTGGGGTGCAGCTCGAGGAAGCAGAGGCCGCAATTTATGACAACAAAACATCTACTGTCATAAGAGGTAAAATGGGTCATCACATGGCGGCTTATAGCGGGTCAGCGGGCTTCGTAGCCTTGGATGAGGAGGAGACAGAACGACAGGGAAGATTAGTATTCAAAACCCCACCCCCCAACGACCCTATTGTGGTCACCGCCCGTTGTACCAGGGTGATGCTAGAGGACAGGATCCTAAAAATGGCGGAAACTATCTCGGGAGCCTGTGCATTGGGAGATTCTTGGGAAAACTGGACGGTGCCGACGATAAATTGGGTCAATGGAGTTCCGGGATGTGGCAAAACAACTTGGGTTATAAACCAATTCGATGCGGAGGATGATTTGATTGTCACAACAACAACAGAAGCAGCTAAAGATCTTAGAGAAAAGTTAGCCAACCGCATAGCCACTGACGCAAAAACAAAAGTGCGCACTATGGCCTCAGTTTTAGTAAACGGTATGAGGAGGCAAAAGGGAAGATGTACTCGACTTTTAGTCGACGAAGCTCTCATGAACCATTTCGGGGCCATAGTAATGGCAATGCGACTAAGTGGAGCGGAAAAAATACTGCTTATTGGTGACATCAATCAACTCCCTTATATCGACAGGGAAAACCTCTTTGCGATGCAATATACTCGCCCAAGCCTCGTGACCACTATCAGCCAAGAACTCCTGTGTACGCACCGGAATCCGATGGATGTGGCATATGCCCTGAATGAAATCTACAGTGGCATTTACTCATCCAGATCTCAGGTGCACTCACTAGAAAGGAAGAGGTACACGGGAGTCGTCATACCAGGTACCCTGCCCGACACCTTATATCTTGCATTTACGCAAGCAGAAAAGGAGTCCCTTACCAGCCAGGGATATGGTTCGGGTCCTGGGTCGCGAATTTTAACCGTACATGAGGCCCAAGGTCTCACATACGGGAGAGTGGTCATAATGAGGACAACAACAGAGAAGCTCAAAATTTATGACAGCGTCCAACACGCAGTAGTGGCAGTGTCCAGGCACACAGAAAGCTGTGTTTATTACACGGACGTTTGCGACGATGCAACTGGGAGGCTGATTGAGAGCGCAATGGCTGCGACAACGAAAAGAATCAAAGAATATAATCTGAAAATGGCAATTAGAAACAGAGACGAAGCTATTGTGGAAGCCCTGTCAACAGATATCACAAACAGTTAAAGATGGAGCACTCTCCACGACATTAAGTACAAGGAAAAGGGAAAAAAAAAAAAAAAAAAAAAAAAAAAAAAAAAATAAATTAACATAGCATGTAAGGCCATATACATTAAGTATGTAGATTGTGTTGATAACTACATGAGGAAAAAAAAAAAAAAAAAAAAAAAAAAAAAAAAAAAAGAGGAAAAAAATATATATAAAAACACAAAGTGGGTCACAATTACTATGTTTAATTAACAAAAAAAAAAAAAAAAAAAAAAAAGATAAAAAAATATTGCGTGTAAGTGCATGTCGCATGTAAGCATATCAGTTTGTAGATCTTAAGAATGTAAGACAATAGACATAAATAAAAAAAAATAAAAATAATAATAATACACAAAAAAGTGTAAAAAAAAGAAAAAAAAATATAGCGTGTAAGTGCATGTCGCATGTAAGCATATCAGTTTGTAGATCTTAAGAATGTAAGACAATAGAAATAAAAAAAAATAAATAAAAAAAAAAAAAAAATATATAAACATATATATGTGAACTCACTGCTTAGGCTTAAATATTTAAGAAATGTAAGTAGTGTAAGGAGTACATTTATAACAGTATTTTAAAAGTTAATAAAATAAAGTAAAGCAAAAAAAAGGTACGGACTTCGAGTCTGTAGAGTAAACTTATTACAAGAAAAAAAAAAAAAAAAAAAAAACATAACCTAACCTAACCTAACCTTTTTTTTTTTTTTACGGGGGAAAGCCTCATGGACTGCCTCTGCCTGGGGACAGGCGGAGGGGTGTGCCGGACTCTTACCGGCTAAAACCACCCCGGTGTCTCCTCGCACGTGCACGCGCGGGGCCGCGGGAATCCAAATTCTTCCGCAGCCTCACACTAGTGCTGACCCGGTCTGTACGGGCCTCGTCTCCTGCACGGGGTAGTGAGGTGTTCAACTACCCCCTGTATCACCTCAGAGGCACGCGCCGACACCCACGCGTGCCTCCGCCTCGGGTCCATCGAATAGGGGGGCGGGGGGCTTCCCCTAGTCCCTCGCCCCTGGACTTATTCATGGGGGCTGGAAAAGGGCGCTGTCCGCCTTTCTCCTGCGCCCGGTGCGCCTTCTGCGGCCAGGGAAGGGAGTCGAGATCTCCCCTCTCCCGTTCCGCAGTTTCCTTCTGCGACATCACGTCCTCACAGAAGGACACCACTGCATCCCACGATTCTGCGCTACCGACCATACTCCGCACCAAGGCCGACAGCGACAAATCGCCTCCTACTACATTTGTGAGGACACGGCGCTGCTCCTCCCAAGCTACACACTCGGCGAGCGTGTGTTGCGCCGTGTCCTCCCCGCAATGGACGCAGTGGTGGCACCGAGCGTCCGGCTCCCTGTCTATGCGGCACAGGTACTTGCCAAAGCAGCCGTGCCCCGACAGCACCTGCGTCACCCTAAACGACAGGGAGCCATGCCTTCTCCCGAGCCAGTCGTCGAGTACTGGCCGGATCGCCTCGACGATAGCGAGGCCGGCGGTAGGGCGCAGAAGCCTTTGCCGCCATTCCGCCACCAAGACCTGACGGAGCTCCTCTCGGCGCAGCGCGATCTGTCGCTGCACCGGCCTCGAGCCCCGTCCCCGCTCTTCCTCGCGCCATCGATATAGTGACGCGAGTACTTTCGCCTCTAGATCCCAGGGCGGGGATCCGGCTAGGACGCAAGCCGCCTCGTAGGAAATCGTGCGATACCCGTGGGTGACTCTGACGGCCATCGCCCTCTGCGGTTTGCGCAGAATGGCGAGAGTGCTGGCCGTCATGTCCATCGCCCATACAGGGGCCCCATACAGGGCCATGGACCGCACGATTCCCACGTACAACCGCCTACAGGCAGCGCTCGGGCCCCCCAAGTTGGGAAGCAGCGTTGAAAGTGCGCCAGCTGCACGCATCAGCTTGGGCACCAGCCGCCGGAAGTGGGGCCCAAATTCCCATCGGCTGTCGAGCACCAATCCCAGGTACTTCATGGTGGACTCGACAGCTATCCGGGACCCGAACCTAACCTAACCTAACCTAACCTAACCTAACCTAACCTAACCTAACCTAACCCCCCCGAACGCCACGTTTTTAAGTCGCTCCGCGCTTAAAAATTCGGAATAATAGGTTTTTTTGCAACCGATTTTCGCGAATTATATGTCAAATGTTGCGTTTTGACTCGCGATTTAAATTAGTGAAAACAGCAAGAAAATCGGAGTTTTTGTGAAAAAGATATAGTGGAAAAAGTGATTTTCAAAAATTTTAAAAACTTCAAAGTGAAACGCTGTACGATTAATCGCCTTTACCCCTGTTTTTTAAAGTGCGGCCTTGAAGCTACTCGCGGCCCCCACCCATGTGCAAAAATTGAGATTTCTCGGAGCCACACTCTTCGAGAAAAAGCCAAAAAAACAAGTGGCACGTGGGCACGTGTTTGGTGAAACAGAGTCGTGCGGCTATTTTTGAAGTCGGATTTTAGTAGTACGCACGGATAGGAGCCGGGAGCAAGTTTCAGGACAATTTTAAGTTAAGTGGTTTACGAGATATTGAATTTCTAAAATTTGTTAAAAATTGATATCTCAATAAATTTAAAAATAAAGTGACGACTCGTTATTTTTATTTTCAAATAGTGTCAAGAAGAATATTAGGAATATATCTACAAATTTTTGGATTTTTCTATTGAGCAGTTTTTTAGTTATAAAATTTTTAATATTTTTTAGTTAACGTGTGCTACCCCTACAATAGTAATTTATATAAATTAGGACTTTTGGACTTTGTATATTCCGTAAAATGTCTTCAAAAAGTACTTTATTTAAATCGTCTAAAGCAAAGCAAACGAAGGGACCAAGTTCAACTCCTAGTACAACCCTAAGAAAAAAAGTGCTTATGCAAAATGCGGCATCCACACAAAAAGAAGAACCTATGGCTCAATCATTCGTAGACGTGCGCACTCCCAATTTTGAAAGTGAACCTACTTTTATGGTACAATCTTCGCCGATAATTTCAAAACCATCCGTAATTACCCAGGAAACACAAGCAGAAAACGCAGACCCAGATGACAACAGTTCAGCATCTATGGATATGGAGGCTGAACTAGATATTTTAGGTATCGATAAACCAATAATCACGCGAACTGATGATGAATGGTCTGACTTGGATAGTGTGGTTAGCGGCTGTAGCAAGCGATCAAGCATTTTACCCCCGGCATACAGACGAGCAGGCATATCAATGGATCTAGCTACACAAAGAGCAAACGATTTTTTGCTCACAGGGAAGGAGGCACTTGAAAAGGCTGGGAATATGAAGCGAGAATGCAAAACTGAGGTACATGAATGTTTGCAAGGAATGTATGAGATCGCCCTCTCACTCTCTGATTCGAGATCCCGGCACCGCTTGTCTTTGGAACAAGAACGCAGTAGAGCAGCCAAAGAACTGGTGAGAGTCGAAAGAGCTCATAATAAACAATTAACAGAACTACATACAAAATATACGCACAAACTTAACGAAGCATACGAAGCCATCCAAGAGACAAATAAAGCTGTTGAGGCTATCCGTGGTTGGCTTAATTTCGAAATGGATGGAGCACTAAAAACGATTCAAAATATACAAAAGGAACTTAATATATCAAATGCAAAACCTATTCTAGAACCAGCTACCGATAAAGCCAATGGGAATGGATACGAAATAGAAGAGAAGCTGACAAATATTTCATCTCAAGCTAATGAAACTATACAACATATTAAAGACCTTCATTCAGCATTTGAGCGAATAATGAACAGAGAGCAGACACACGTCACTCAGCCACAAGTCCTAGAATATAAAAATCGCTTTTTAGAGTCACAGTTGAACTCAATTTCAATTCTTGTCACAGAAACAAAGAATTTAATCAAAGAATTACAGAGCAGACCTAATGTCATAAAACAAACTGAAGAGGTACAAAGTGAACAAACAAAAATAATAACCGACACACTAACTCAACAAATCAATAAAATGATTATCGAACTTAACGACATAAAAGAACTGGAACTGAGTCAAATAGCTTGCCAAGGAAATCCTGGTATCGGTGCCGAGCTCATTATGGTAGAAATAAGGGAAAAGTTAAGCGAAATCCTGAATCAATGCTGCGGGACAGCAACATCGACAAACACACCCGCCACCAACATTGCTGAGGGTATTATAATCAAAAAAAACTGACCGAAAGGCTATAATGAAAAGATATAATAAAAGAGTCTACCACACCTGGGGCTCCCACGCACTCTTATGCAGAGGTGTTGGCGAGGCCTCACTTTGCTCTAATCGTAGAATCCGCTGACCCCAGACACACTAGTGATGACGTGGCAAAAACAGTCAAGAGCCATGTTGATGTTGTGGAGCTTGGATTAGGAGTGAACAACGTTAGAAAAATCAAAAACCAAATAATTATTATATCTTGTGATAGCGAGGATGACAGAAGCAAACTGCAGGAGGCAATAAAGAACTCGGACCAAAAATTAACCGCTGCGAAAACAGTATCTAAACAGCCTTTGCTTAAATTAGTCGGAGTAATAAACGATCTGGACAATAGTAAAATTGCAGATGCGGTATTTAAACAGAACTCTAAACTACTATCCGACATAAAACCAAGCGAAAAAAGGCTAAAAGTACTAAGGCGGACAAAGGGTCGCACAAAGGAAATTACTAATATTATACTAGAAGTAAGTCCCCCTATTTGGAAAGCACTAAGGAATCAAAAGCTGCATATTGGGTACCAAATAGTATTAGTGGTGGACCAATCCCCGATAATCCAATGTTACCGGTGTATTGGATTTGGTCACAGCGCCGTGGAATGCAGAGTGGAGGAACCCAAATGTGGATTTTGTGCATTGAATCATGATACTCGGGAATGCCCAAATAGTAATAAAAACTCAACATGTGTCAACTGCAAATCTAAAAAATTTGATGACATATCCCATACAGCATATAGCGCTACATGCCCGGAATGGAAAAGATGGGATCGGATAGCGAGATCCGTAATAGCTTACTGTTAAGTTCGACGCGGGAGTCTCTTCTGATAACACATTACTTAAAGTTCTGCAGTGTAACCTTGGTAGGGGTTTCGTAGCTACACAGGAGTGCTTACAAAACGCTACAAGAAATAAAACATCTATTGCACTTCTCCAAGAACCATATGTAGGTGCATCGGGTAATGTGAATATATCATACAAAACAGTTCAGAAAATAGATAATCGATCTAAGCCTGTAAAGTCTGCTGTTGTTGTCATTGACCCCAATATATTAATAATCGAAGATAGTAAATTTATCACAGAAAATATAGTAGGTGTTATTATTGTAAATAAAAATAATAATATAGGATTGATCTCGATATACTGGGAAGACTATGAAAACATCGAAAATTACATACAGCAATTGAATACCATTATTAAAAATATGAATACACCTTTTATAATTATTGGAGGCGACTGCAACTGTAATAGTCAATGGTGGGGATGTGACAATGAGGATGCCAGAGGAATATTGCTCTCGGAGTTCCTTGCTGAAGCAAGTTTGGAAATTATTAATGAAGGCCGTACTCCTACATTCTATACCATAAGACAGGGAGTAGAATGCAAGAGCATAGTAGATATAACAGTTTGCTCTGTACCTACTATGACTAAGATACTGAACTGGACAGTCAACCCAAACATAGTCACCACCTCAGATCATAGAGCAATAACTTTTGACATATGCATAGGTCCTGAAGAAACAAGGAAGGGGATTAGAAAATCTACTAGGATTTACAATTCCACTAAGGCTGACTGGAATAGATTTAATAAAGAACTTATAACAAATTTGGAAAATAAGGGATTAAATACGAAAGAAGTGACACACATACTGACTGGAAAATACTTTGAAGACGCTATATTAAAATTAAATGAATGCATAACTAAAGCCTGTGATAAATCTATGCCCAAACTAACAAATACCAAATTCATCAAGAAGATCAAATGGTGGAACAACGAACTAGACCTAAAAAAAGAAAGTTATAAGGCTAAGACGCAAAATACGACATGCCGACGAGAACAGAAAACCTTATATTATAGATGATTACTTAAGAACGTTATCTGATTACAAAGAAACCATATTAAGGACGAAAACAAATAGTTGGAAAGAATACTGCACAGGACAATCACGAGAGACTATGTGGGACAAATTCTATAGAATATCCAAGCTCACAGATTTTCATCTTAATGAAGAGATGCTAAAAGATTCAGACGGAAATATATTAGACCCATTTCAATCCGCAGATCTGTTGGCTAACACATTTTATCCAGTTGATAATATTGACAACGACACAGAATACCATACAAGAATACGACAGGACACAAACACAATAGAAAGTCAAATAAAGATGATAAAACAGTCTACAGAATTCACACCCTTTACAACCTATGAAATTAGTACGTTTATTGAAAATATTAGACCATCCAAAGCGCCTGGCCTGGACGGATTTACGGCAGACATATGCAACGCCAGTATTAAGGCCGCTGAAAAACTAATTTTGGAATTAATGAACAGATGTTTATTTATAGGATACTTTCCCAAAATTTGGAAAATTGCAATCATACGCATTGTAAGAAAACCGGGTAAGGACAACTACACAAGCCCCAAGGCGTACAGACCTATTGGCTTACTCCCGGTAATGGGGAAGGTACTTGAAAAAATGATTACAAATAGATTAACTTGGTTTCTAGGAAACACTAACAAATTAAGTACAAGACAATACGGATTTATGCCCCAGACTAGTACCGAAGATGCATTGTATGATGCTGTCATTTTGATAAGAGATAAACTTAAGAAACGAAAAATTATAGCTGTCATTTCTCTAGATATCGAAGGGGCCTTTGACGATGCCTGGTGGCCTGTTATTAAAAAGCAACTCTTTGAAAATAAGTGTGATCCATATATACTAGCAACCATTTTCAGTTACCTTAACGAGCGCTCTGTTGAAGTACACTACGCCGGTACAAAGATCACTAAGCCAACTAATAAAGGATGCATTCAAGGATCCACGTGTGGACCACTGATGTGGAATATCCAGCTTGACCCTTTGTTAAAAACAGCGGATTCATTAGAAGCTCACATCCAGGCCTTTGCAGATGATATATTATTAATTGCGGAGGCAGATACAGCTAGAGAATTAGAAAGAAAAACCAACGAAACTTTATTAAAAATATCAGAATGGAGTGTACGAAATAAAATGAAATTTGCTGCCCACAAGACAAAAGTAATAATAGTAACGAAGAAGCTAAAATATGATACACCAACGTTTGTACTAAATAACACACCACTTAATATAGGAAGTGATATTACAGTTTAAGGATTAACAATCGATAGTAACTTGAATTTTAACAAACATTTGGACAGGACAATACAAAAAGTAACAAATATATACAAAAGCATTACTAGAGCCGCTAAATCTACATGGGGACTTAATAGTGAAATATTAAGAATCATTTATATAGCAGTAATTGAACCAATTATTTTATATGCAGCAAGTTCCTGGGGTCAAGTTATTGACAAAAAATATATTAAATCGAAATTGGATCGCATAACGAGAATGTTCGCATAACGAGAATGTTCGCATTACGTATTGCAAAGGCGCATAAAACTACTTCCTGTGTAGCAAGTACGCGTTTGGGTAAGATACTCCCTTTAGATTTAAGAGTAAGGGAAACGGCTAAATTTCACACAGCTAAAAGAGGAAAGCCCCTGGATATTCTCCTCGATAGGCCTATAGAAAGTAAAGTCAGCGTGTTTAATTTACCTTCACCTTCAAAAAGAAAGCCTCTGTCATTTAAGGAAGTTTATAAAGAAGAAGACCTAAAAGAAATTAGAATGAATTTACCACAACTGTTTACGGATGGTAGTAAGATAGAAGGTAAGGTGGGAGCGGCTGTTGTGTAGTATGAGAACGGTAAAGAAAAATTAAATTCAAACTTTAAGCTGGATAACCACTGCTCTGTATTCCAGGCTGAATTAGCGGCAATACTTCGAGCTGTTGATCTTACAATTCGCAAAACACAGTTAAAAAGAACGCAAGTATTAAGCGACTCGAGGTCTGCACTGGAATCTGTCTGCAATCCGCATAATACCCATCCGATTGTAGTAGAAATTAATAAAAAAATATCTGAGATACACGAAAATGGAGGACAAATACAACTGTTTTGGATAAAAGCCCACTCTGGACTAGACGGCAATGAGCGAGCCGACGAATTGGCCAAAAAGGCAGCTTTACATAAGAAAACTGCACCTGTGTACGATAAAGTCCCAGTGTCCTTTGTTAAGTGGTCCCTTAGAAATATAACAATAGCAGAATGGCAACAGCGATACATGAAAGAAGAAGCAGGAGTGGTAACCAAGCTATTCTTTGATGACGTTCGTCGAAGCCATAAAATACTGTTGAAATTAAAAACAACAAACTTACTAACGCAAATATTCACAGGACATGGTGGGTTCGGCGAATATCTTCACAGATTCAAATTGAAAGATACAGCAGTATGTAAGTGTGATGGAACCAGTATCCAAACTATTACCCACTTACTAGACGAATGTCAAATTTTTGATTCCTGGAGATGGGAAGTGGAACAAAAATTAGGAATAAAAATAAAAAGTAATAATTATAAATTATTTGTAAGTGATGAGCCGTGGTAGCTCAGTGGTTAACGCTCGCTGTAAATATAACAGAACGCGAGTAACCCGGGTTCGATCCCCGCCGGCACCAATGAAATTGTTAATTGCAATTTTAAGTGCTGATTTACCACGTGCTCGGCGGTGAAGGAAAACATCGTGAGGAAACCTGCATGTCTGAGGAATAAGAAAAAAAATATTTCGAAGACATGTGAAGTTCGTCAACACGCATTTGGGCAGCGCGGCGGACACTTCCTTGCCCTAAACCCTCTCAGAAATGAGGGGAGGCCTGCAGTGGGACGTATATAGGCTGTAACTTTTTATTTGTAAGTGACGACGTCAAAAGAGATCTTTTTGTAAGGTACGCTAAAAATGTAATTAAAAGAGTTAATGAATGGAATGGCGGATGCCTGAAATTACTCGATTAACAAGTAGAGCAACATGAACAGAAGAGACGTAAACGACGATCATTGGCACCACAACTTAATAACACAAAATAAAATAAGAAAAAAAAAATACTTATAAAGGTTTAAAAAAATGTTAATAAGAAAAGATGCTGCAAAATAAACAGCAGCAGTTACAATAAAAAAAAACCTAACCAAAAAAAAAAAAAATCTAACCTAACCTAACCTAACCTAACCTAACCTAACCTAACCTAACCTAACCTAACCTAACCTAACCTAACCTAACCTAACCTAACCTAAAAAAGGTTTTTTAGGAATATACTAAATTGTAAAATTTTTGCAATAATCTATACGAATTAGACCTTTCTATTATAAGAAAAAAAAAAAATTCAAACATGGCATCGAGACTAAAACTTGACAATACTGCGGGCTCATTGAAGCCCAAAACCGCTGTGACAACGGCCGGGGTAATGTCTACGGGAACATCAAGTAAACGGGTACCATCGACAACCGGAGGAAATACCTCCGTTTCACCCACGAAGTCGCGCACATCCGACATATCCTTAGCACACTCCAGCTTCTCTACACCAGGAAGCTCCCCTGCAAGCCTTTCAGCCAAGGCAAATCGGTTGTACCAAGAGGCCAAAACCCAAATGGAGCCGTCGGGAAATATAAAAACATCTATCAAGGAAACCGTGCTCAGTAATATCGCAGGGATGTATGAGATCATTCTCCGACTTAGTGAGTCAAGACAGACACTCCAGGTACAACTGGAGAAGTCTCGAGCAGAAAATGCAGCGACATTGTTAAAGCGCGAGAGGGAACATGCGGAGCAACTATCTGAAGCGAGGAAACATAGTTCATTACCCTCAACTGCAGCGTCTCCACCAATCGAGCTAATGAAGGAGCTTATAGAAAATTTACAAGACCATACAAAAACAGTTGTGGAATGCCAAAAACATACAATAACACTCACCGAACAACTTAAGCAACCTCCACAGAATAACATCTCGGAACGAACATATGCACAAGCAGTAGGTACTTCAAAACATCAACAGGTACACTCGGTTGTAGTAACGTCAGATGAGCCGAAGGACACTAGTGGTGAGGTTATTGATAAAATTAGAACGGCGGTAAATGCAAGACATGGGGGCATACAAATAGAGAGGATACGCAAAGCGAGAGATCAGAAGGTAATCGTAGGATGTAAATCCAAAGAAGAGCTGGCAAAAGTGACAGAGAGAATTAAGCACTCAGGAGGAAGCTTGCATGTCGAAGAGGTAAAAAATAAGGACCCTCTTATAATCCTTAAAGACGTATTAGCATACAATTCAGATGAAGATGTCGTGACTGCGCTCACAAATCAAAATAATCACCTAATAGGAGATATAAAAACAGAAGACCAGAGACTCGTCGTGAAATATCGACGTAAGACTAGAAATCCTCATGCAAACCATGTAATCATGCAAGTTTCCCCCCAAGTGTGGCAGCGACTAACAGCAGTGGGGCGAGTGCACATTGACTTGCAGAGAATTCGAGTGGCAGATCAGACACCACTAGTGCAGTGTTCACGTTGCCTAGGCTATGGTCACGGTCGAAGGTTCTGCAAAGAAACTGCTGACATCTGTAGCCATTGTGGTGACCCGCATTTAAGAGCAGAATGTACAGAATGGCTTGCAGGAAACGCACCATCATGTCGAAACTGCCTTCACACAAAACTAGATAGGAACGACCACAACGCTTTTGACTCCGAATGCCCAATTAAGAAAAGATGGGATACCCTGGCTCGATCGACGGTAGCGTATTGCTAAAGACGACTTAGACGCAAATAGCACTTCGCCGGATGCACAGACCCTCCAAACTCTACAAACGTATAGAGTTGTACAGGCCAACCTACAAAAGAAAAAGCTGGCAACAATGGAATTTATTATAGAGTCTGCCAAAGAAAGGATTTCTTTTGCGCTAATACAGGAACCCTACATAGGCTCCCAAGGAGTACTTAAAACACATGTTGGATCTCGTGTGGTTCAACGTAGTAACAACAGGACAAAACCTATAAAGGCGGCTATAGTAGTTTTCGACGAGAATGTGGAGATTATTGAAAGCCCCACATTGACGACAGAAAATATAGCAGTTGCTATATTAAAAACTAACGAATGGACCATGGGAGTCATATCGATCTACATGGAGGATTATTTGCCAATCGAACCCTACTTGGATAATATAAAAACCATTGTTGGGTCTATAGGAACCAACAAAATATTGCTTGGAGGAGATGGAAACGCATGGAGTACATGGTGGGGAAGTGTGACAGAGGACCACAGAGGAGAGGCGCTATCAGGGGTTTTAGAAGAGCTAAACTTGCAAATTCTTAACATCGGTAATGAACCAACATTTGACACCATAAGAGGAGGGAAACATTATAAGAGTCATGTTGATATCACGGCATGCACATTGGAATTACTAGGAGCTGTAAATGACTGGAGAATAGACAAAACTTTAACTAGCTCAGACCACAATGCGATCAGATTTAATATAAAATTAAAAAAACCAACACGAGATAGACAAAGAAGTTCAACAAGAATATATAATACGAAAAAGGCGAATTGGCCTCTTTTTAAAGAAGAATTGATGAATCAGCTAAAAGGAAGGAATATAGACAAAAATGAGGTTAGTAATATCAATACCAAAGAAGGGCTAGAACAAATGATAGAAAATTATATCGACGGAGTAAAGAACACGTGTAAAAAAACAATACCTCTTATTAAAATTAAGAACAAAATGAAAATAGCATGGTGGAATGAAGAATTAGAAAAATTGAAAAGAGAAATGAACACCAAAAAGAGAAGAATACAATGTGCTGCACCTAGCCGTAAAAGATGGGTAGTGGAGGAGTTCCTCCTAGCAAAATCAAAATATGAAGAAGAGACGATAAAAGCCCAAACAGAAAGCTGGAAGAACTTCTGTACAAAACAGGATAAAGAGAGTATGTGGGATAGTATTTATAGAATAATTGCAAAAACGAGTAAAAGATATGAAGACCAACCACTGGTAAGGAATGGAAAAGCCCTGAGTGTGGATGATTCAGTGAGATGGCTAACAGAGACATTCTTCCCAGACGATCGGGAAAATGATGATAACGCTGAACATCAGCTAACAAGATTAACGGCAAGCAAGTTGGACTCACTAGCCACTGACGAAATGGATCCGCCCTTCACTATGGCCGAACTTAATTACGTGTTGAACAGTTTCAATCCGAAAAAAGCACCAGGGCCAGACGGTTTAACAGCGGATATCTGTTCGGTTGTAATATCCCAAGCGCCAGAAATCTTCCTGAGCATTGTAAACAAATGCCTACAACTGTCACACTTTCCTATACCCTGGAAATTAGCAAGAGTCATAGTTATAAGAAAACCAGGCAAAGATAACTATACGGCCCCAAAATCTTATAGACCAATAGGTCTATTGTCAGTCATGGGTAAATTGCTTGAGAAAATTATCATAAGGAGGATTAGATGGCACCTTCTACCACTAACAAATCCTAGGCAGTATGGTTTCATCCCTCAACGCAGCACAGAGGATGCTTTGTATGACCTTTTAAAACATATAAAACAAAACTTAACTAAAAAACTCATTAACGTAATAGTTTCGCTCGATATAGAAGGAGCGTTTGATAGCGCCTGGTGGCCGGCAATTCAGTGCCGACTAGCAGAGAAACGCTGTCCGCAAAATCTATTTCGTCTAGTAAATAGCTATTTAGAAGATAGGAAGGTTTGTGCAGGCTACGCGGGTGCTATTTGTTCGAAAAAAATGTCAAAAGGATGTATTCAAGGCTCTATTGGGGGCCCTACATTTTGGAATCTACTATTAGATCCCCTGTTGGATGGGTTAGAGAAACGTGGAGTACATTGTCAAGCGTTTGCCGACGATATTGTCCTGATATTCTCCGGAGGAACTACCTCAGTAATACAAGAAAAAGCCAATAACGCCCTGGCTTATGTATATGAATGGGGAAACAGAAATAAACTCAAATTCGCACCACATAAAACAAGTGCTATGATTATAACAAAAAAGCTTAAATATGAGGCCCCACATATACAAATGGGAGGAACTGTGATAAGTTTAGTGGAAGAAATGAAACTACTCGGACTCACAATAGACCACAAATTGACCTTCCAGAAACATGTGCAACTTGTCTGTCGAAAAGCCGCTAACATCTACAAGCAACTTGCTCGAACGGCTAAAATCGAGTGGGGTCTTAATCCGGGGATTATCAGGACAATATATGTAGCAGTGATAGAACCGATTATCCTGTATGCGGCTAGCACGTGGGCTACTGCAGCAGAAAAAATTAGCATTCAAAAACAGCTGAATGTAATCCAGAGAGGATTTGCGCAAAAAAATGTGTAAGACTTATCGCACAGTCTCCCTAAATGCCGCAATGCTCCTAGCAAGATTGCTTCCTCTAGATCTTCGGGTCCAAGAAGCAGCTTCTCTTTATGAAGCAAGAGAGGTAAACTCAGAGAGAATAGGTTGTAGGAAGATAAAAGTAGAGTCTGCTTCCTAAAGGCACAACATCCAGCCAAGGAAGTGGAAGTCACATTCGAATGCCTGGAAGATCTAAGCCTGAAACACTCAGAAAATTCAACATAATGGGTGATCAAATTTACACAGACGGGAGCAAAATTGGAGGAAAAGTTGGAGCAGGATTATCCTGCTGGCATAATAACACCGAGATTAAAAGTCAAAAAATTTAAGTTGGAACCGTTCTGCACGTCTTTCAGGCTGAACTTTATGCTATCTTTCAGGCGACAAAACTTTGCACTGGAACATGAAGCACAACAACAACAAACGTTTGTTCAGCGACTCAAGATCTGCTTTGAAACTAGTACGTAATAGAGACTCATACCATCCCCTAGTAATAGCTATTAGGAAAAACATCATGCTTATGAAGGAACAGAATAAAACTATTCGCTTGTTCTGGATTGTCCCACGTGGGAGTCACGGGAAACGAGCGAGTTGATCAACTT